AATTAGTTCAGTATGGGCCGACACATAATGGGATGTGTCGACTCATGCACCTTCTTGTATCGACGCAAAATGTGTATGTATCGACTCATAGGCTTTTCCAGCTTCTGTAAAGTGAAATCTGTTCAGTATGGGTCGACACATAATGGGATGTGTCGACTCATGCACCTTTTTGCATCGACGTTAAATGCGTATGTGTCAACTCATAGTCCTTTCCAGTTTCTGTTTTGTGACTTGAACTCAGTATGGGTCGATGCATGAGGGTCATGTGTCGACTCATACCCTGTATTTTCACTAAGACGAGTCGACACATGTGGATATGTGTCGATACATGCTGCATCTTCCTGTCTTAAACATAGTTTTTACTGATTGTACAGGTTAGTTTATGGCATATAATGGATAAGTATGAACCATAAATGATTGAATAAGCCTAAACAAGATACAAATGACTAGTTCATAAAGGTACTAAAGTACTACATCTTGTCTTTAAAATAATCGAATCCTTTAATGATGTATGAAGAGATATCAAGTCAAGGAGACTTACCTCTGAGCTGCACTGGCTGTTTAAATCTGAATGCTTTTTTTTGTAAATATTATGAAGATCTCAATGAATTGAGTTAGACTATGCTGTGATGTTTTTGGTGTTTTGAAGGTGAAGATGATAGCACTACAGGGACCGTTTTTGTGATGTTTTGGACCAACTTTGTATATGATGAGTTATTTGGTTTAAAAGAGGGTTTGTATGGTGGAGTGATGGATTGAGTTTTCTGTTTTGAACAAGAGTAGACTTGGTTTTGAAAATGAATCAAGGTTGCACATAATATTATTTTTCTGCTCAACAAAACTCTATATTCTTTCTCTCTAAAACTTTTTCACTTCCCAAAAACAAACCCCTTGTCTTGCAAATGTTTCTTCTATTTATAGAGAAGGTTTGAGACTTGAGAAACTCAGACTTTTTTTGAAAAATCCCCTGTTATGCCTTCTTTTTTAAATTCATAATGACAAGTTTCTTCAAGATGAAGAAAGGAGTGAATTAAGGAACTCAGCCATGCTTTATAGGTCTTGTGGATTTCTTCTGATGTTGAGAGATTTTTCTGTCATCTTTGGAACAAATTTCAAGCTTTGAAAGAAGAGAGTGGGTGGAAAAGTGAAACTTTATGCAAATGGAAATGTTGCTTTTGCATTTCTAACCATAAATGGTATCAAGACTTGGACAAAGCTTCAAATGCTTGTGTAATACACTTAGGGTTTGTGTAATTGATTGATTATGCATAGATTTGGAGATAACATGGCCTGAAAAGAGAGATATTATAGCTTTGGTTGGAATTTAGTCAAGTGTTCATCACAAATTCTGCTTTGTAATTCAAGAATGAAACCCTAACTTCAGATCCTTGTATCTCCTAGATTAAATATGATAAATTCATGCTCTTGGATGTTTTGGAAAGCTTGAAACATCCTCTATAACTTTCATGTTGACCACTTTTGTTAAATCAAACTGGAACTTGATGAAAATTGGCCAAGAAGTTGGGATAAAAACCTGACAAAACTGCTGAAAATTTCTCCAAGTGTTAAATGAAAATGTCATGACTTCATGAATTTATAACTTGAGATCCAAGCATATTTAGGAGAAGTTGTGTAAAGAAATGTTGTAGATATCATGGAGATCTACAACTTTCATGTTGGAAGCTTCTCTTGAATCATCTTGCATTAAGGTGAAAAGTTGGGATGAAGAAATGAGATTATCATGTATAAAAAACACTTAAAAAAATTTCTAAGTTTTGAAGGGTTTGGACTTTCACATTGACTTTTGACTTTCTTGATTCCTTGATGATCAAGTTTCATATTTTTGAATGTCTTGATGAAATTTGATCTTTGGGTTGTAATGTTGACTAAAAAGTCAAAGTTTGACTTTCTAGTATGCAAATGACCATTTTGCCCCTTTGCCAATTCCAAGCCTAAATTGATGTATTAGTGCTGCAAACTTGATGTCATAGAAGATCTTGTGAGAAAATCTTTGAGAAATGAGAGGGCAAATTTTGGGGTACAACACATGCCGCTGCTGGCGAGGTGGTTTACTTCGCACCTCCCCAAGCCCGTGTTGAAGAATGAGGAAGGGTTAGGATGGTCTTACAGGATAATGTCCCTTGCCCATACAAACATTCTGTGGAGTTCTAAGGCTATGGAAAGCGTTACTATCATTGATCGATGTAGGGGATACCCTAATGTCCCGTTGCTTGGAATCCAAGGAGGAATAACCTACAGTCCTTGTTTGTCTTTGCGACAGTTTGGTCGTGCTCGAAGAGACGGTCCTCATGAGTTACTTCTTACAGATATTGCATTTGATTACAAGGAGGACGTTGACGAGCATCGCCGAAGGTTTATACGAGCTTGGGGCATGGTGAACAGATCTGACCCTCAAGAACTAGGACCAAGGACTTCTCTCCTTATGCAACCTTATCTCCAGTGGGCCCGAGCTCGTGCTCAGAAGCTTGGGATGCCTTATGAAGCCGTGTTGCCAGTGATTATGGAGCCCACCAATGAAGAAGGCGTTCCTTATACCTTCCTTTATCCCTACATGCCCACTAATCTTGGGGCATTGAAGATTTCCTGGATTCAGTTGAAAAAGGAGAGGGATACTGTTGTACCCCAAATTTTGACCTAAGATCCCACCTCCCATCTGCATTATTACATAGCGAGTGTTCACAAGCGATTCGACCTTTTTTTGCCATTTCTCGGGTCAGATTTCAAGATTTCATAACTTCTTCGGATTTCGACATTTTTGAGAGGTTGTTCTTGCACCTGTTTTTTCTTGACATCATCTACAACTTTCCTTTACAAGTCAAGGGCAAATTATGCATTGAGAAGCCACGAAATTGTTAACGTTAGAAGTCGTTTCAGGAATTTGATTCTTAATTTTGGACTATGTTTTGTCCGACCATACATTTTACATCATCTTTCTTTTATTCTTATTTCCATAAAAAGAAAATCCTAAAAAAATATTTAGTTCATGCTATTTTCATTTTATTTATGTTTTTTATTCAAAATATTCAAAATAAAAAAATTAGTTTCCTTAAGTTTCATTTAGTTTTTGTTCTTGTATCATTTAAGCCAAAATTATAATCTTTTAGATTTAATTTAGTAAAAAAATCTCAAAAAAATATGTGTTATCATTATTTTATTTTAACATTTCACTTTAATTCAAAAATCATAAAATATATAGTTAATATCTTTTCCTTTTATTCTTTTAGTTATTATAATTTTTGCTTCTTTCTTTCAATATTAGTCTTGATTTGATTCTGATTTTAATTCAATTGTTAAGTTGGATTATTGTTAAAATTAAAATTAATTATAATTTCTTTTATTGTTCTTTGCAAATTTTAGTTTAATCTTTTTCCTTTTATTATTATTATTATTATTATTATTATTATTATTATTATTATTATTATTATTATTATTATTATTGTGTTTCAATAGTTTTTGTTGTTTTGTCATAATAAGAAATCAATTTGGGGACCATTCTCTTCATGCTACAATATATCCATGTTATGCTGCTGTCAACATGTCATGCTGCTGCCCTGTACTAAAACTTGCTACCAACCTATCATAACAGTCCAAAAAAACGGTAACGTAATATAATGTTTATTCAAAAAACCAAACTTGTTCACACCAGAAAAAAACCAGATTGTCCCATTATAAAGGAGAATACATTACACAGAAAAAACTACACAGGAAAAACCACCAACAACTGCTAACTTCTTTCAAAATATTCCACAATATTCTCTCTGTTTCACCACTTCATCCAACAATAACAACAAGGAAATCTCTACAATTCTCAACCAAAAATCCCTCCAGCTTCTTCTCTTGTGATATACTCCATTTACTGTCGAACAACAACAACCTTCAGTGCAACAATTTTTTTTAGTTTCAATTTCAACAAATCTCAGAAAGAAAAGGGGGAGAAATTTTAGTTTACCTGTCGAAGGTTTTTTTTTTTTTTTTTTAAAACGGGAACTCGTCGGACTAGCGTTGATCGGGTGAGTCTTTCTTCTTTATATGCCCTTCTATTTATTACCATGCCCTGTTGTTGTTTGTTGCTGTAGTTACTATTTATCTTGATTTCATTGTAATTGTGAAACTATGGAACTGCTGTGATATCAAACCAAGTGAACCTGAAAAAATAAAAAAATCATTGCTGCTGTTTTCAAAAGATAGAAAATAAAGAGTAAGAATTTTGAGTTGAAAATTGAGAATTCACATCTTAAATACATAAATCCTCATAAAACTTCAATACTTTTTTTTCACAAATCTATAAACTATAAAAATAGAGGCCAATAACCAGAAAATAAACATACTGATATTGGAGATCATAGACGAGAAGAGAGAGATCAGTAGGAAAAATAGAAAAGTACCTCGCCGTTTTTAGATCTTCAATACACCCTGTATATTTCAAACGCCAAATCTCTGCACAATTCTGGAACCCTCTAAAAAAAATCATCATCCTTGAACTTTACTTTACTCTCCCTCTGTTCTGCCACGAACAACAAACCCCCTCCACTTGTTCTTCCAAACAAGTGGATCACTGTGATATTCGACCTCCCTCCTCTGTTATCATATCATCCTAAGCCAACATTCATAGTTCATCTCTACAAACATCAACAAAACATTCAAAATCATAGGGAAAACGGAGTAGAAGAAAAGATGCTGAGATTAGAAAAAAAACCTTGTACCTGAAATTGAAAACCCTTAACCCTTTGCAAAACCCAAATTCACTGTCATCTTCATCTACCTGTCTGAATTACTCCCCTAAACCCCTCATAACCGTATTCAGCTTCTCTGCCGTAATCGACCCGTTCCCATCCATATCAAAAACCGCAAACGCGTCCTTCAGATTCTCCAAGATCTCGTCTGAATCAACACCTTTCATATTCAACTCAATGAATTCCGGTAAGCTTATACAACCGTCGCCGTCTCCGTCGACCTCGCGGATCATGTTGTTCAGTTCTTCATCGCTTGCCGGCTGCCCTAAGCTTCCCATTATGGATCCCAGCTCGGAGGCCGAGATCTTCCCGTCGCCATTGACGTCGAATTTCTTGAATACTTCTTCCAGTTCCCCGGCCAGGCGCGCGCGTGTATGCACGAACAGTGAGGTTGAGCGTGATGCCGTTGAGGATGACGATGGGTTTTCGGTTGAACAGTGATTTCATCGTAACAGAGATTAAAATAATACCGATGTGAAATTTATTCAAATTTTTCTCTTTGTTGAATGAATGAGAATTTGGAATGAGAAGAGAAAAGGGGTTTGAAATCTATCTATAAGAGTAGATCTTGAAAAACTGAGAGTTTGCGTTTGTTTACGGTTAATTTATGAATAGAAGAGAGAGATAGAGTAATTGGTTTCTAGGGAATTAATTAATTATAATTTTTTTTTCTTCCCAAGTTAATAGCCAGCGGCGGCTCTTTATTTAGGGTTCTTAAAAAAAAACCTTTCTATTCTTCTCCCAATTGGGTTGATCCATTGGGTTGATAACCCATTTCCATTACCTTTTTTTTTATATATTTTTTAGCTTAATAAAAAGGTAAATAACGAATGAGTAGTATGGTGTGTTGGTCAGCACGTTAGTTTGACATGCTTGCGGTCCTAAGTTCGATTCCTATTGAAATCTATTTATTCTTTTTTTTTCACCCTTTTGTTTTAGGCCAGTTAACTTTGTCTTATTATTTAAAATTTCCCCAAAAAATACAAATATATAAAAATAGGTTTATATTTAATTATTTTACCTCATAAAAAATATCGTAAAAATTATTATAATTGTCTTTCTTTTATTTTGATTAGTTGTTAGCTGTTTAATTTCTTTTTCGATTATTTGAGCTTTATATTTTGTTTGCGCCATAAAAACTATATTATAATTGTTTTATTTTATTTTGATTAATTGTTAGTTGTTTAATCTCTTTTCGATCATGTAATCTTTGTATCTCTCGTCCGTTTCAATCCAAGGGAATTGTCTAATTTTTTGTCGACTTTATGTCATCAAAAAAAAACATCGTGCGAATACCCTCATTCATTAAAAACATAGGATAATTTTCCCAAATATTCAATTTTCTTCAAAACTCATACCATTTAAGTCAAAACTTCGACATTAGGTCGTCGCATCTTCAAAAACCCGTCCGTACCCCCTTTCGGCCAAAACAATTTATTTTTCAATCAAGCGATCAATTTTAAATAAACAGATACTTCAAAAGGTTCCTCTAGAGTACTATAGATGCATTGGGTGCTAATACCTTCCCATTGTATAACCAACCCCCGAACCATAAGATCTCTTTTCAAAAACGTTTTGTATTTTTATTATTATTTACATTGCATATTTAGGGTTTTATTTCGCTCTTTTCCCTTTTCCTTTGGAAACAATAAAGCGCGGTGGCGACTCTTGCTTTTGTGAGACGAATTAATCAATAATTCGATCTCCGATTTACCCCGCTACATTTTTTATCGCTACAGATACCTACCGAGAGAAGTACCATGAGAAAGAAAGGAAGATCTTGAAGCTCACCAGGCAACTCAAAAATGAAAGAACGATCAATGACTACGTCAGCACGAAGGGGAAGCGTCCATGGGATTTCTGATTTTTTCTTTTTCTAGTTTAGATTTGTTTTTCATTTACTTCTTTGTAAACGCCTTAAAGGCATTGTTGAACCTTTTTACCAGTTAATCTAATAAAGTTTGTTTACTTCTTGGTTTGCAAATTTAAATCTCCCAAAGTCTTTGAAATCATTAAATACGCATCCCATTATCATACACACCATTACAGGTACCGTTAATGGTTTCTCATCTTCTTCGCTGTTTATTTCAGCAGTTATGTCTTCCGATCAAGCTATCAAAGATCTTCAGACACAAAATTTCCAATTCCAAGAGATGTTATTAAGCTTGGCTAAAGGACAAAAGGACTTGAAAGCTCTCATTCTGAAAGAGAAAGATAAGAAGAAGAAGAAGAAGGTTGTTCTTTTGAGTATGGGTAAAAGGTTTGGGGATAGGCTGAAACAACAAGTTGATCTGTCTCTTTCATCCAAAGGAGAGGAGGACCAAGAAGAAGAAAAGGGCCCTAGTCCTGCAGTTTCTGATAATGATACAGATTATGATGAAGAACAATATCCTCTTGTTGAGGATAGGTACAAACAACTTGAAGACTGGATAAGTGCTATGGAGTGTCAGAAGATCCCTGGTTTGGATTTTGAAGAACTGGGACTGGTATTTGGAGTGGTGATCCCTCATAAGTTCAAAGCTCCAGTTTTCGCCAAGTATGATGGAGTATCCTCCCCAAAACTCCATCTCTGCTCGTACGTCAGAAAAATCCAACCTTACACTGCTAATAGAAATTTATGGGTGCATTTCTTTCAAGATAGTCTGTCAGGGACTCAACTTTAATGGTTTTATCAATTGGAAGGAGCTAATGTCCGAAACTGGGAGGACCTTGCTGCTGCTTTCTACAAGCAATATGAGTATAACGTCGACCTTTCTCTCACTCGTACTCAGCTTCAGGGTATGTCTATGGGTGAAAGTGAAGGTTTTAAGGACTATGCTCAGAAGTGGAGAGACTTGGCTGGAAGAGTCCAACCCCCTTTGTCTGACAGGGAGTTGGTTGACATGTTTCTAGGGACGTTGTCTGGTCTATTTTTCAATCATCTGATCGGTAGTTTGTCATGTGGGTTTACTGAATTGATCTTGACTGGGGAGAGAGTAGAAGCTGGTATCCGAAGTGGTAAGATACAGAAGGATACGTCGTCAAGTGCAGTAAAGAAGCCCTTCACCGATAAGAAAGAAGCTAGTGCAGTTTACGGCCCGAGGGGCCAAAGAAGACCTGAACACTGTCAAGTAGTGAATGCAGTAGTGATATCAAGACCCACAGTTGCTCCACAACTCAACAATCAGCAAAGGGTGGAGAGACCTCAAAGACAGTTCACTCGGCTCAATATGACCTTGTCTCAAATTCTACCACAGTTATTGAAGACCAACCTGGTAACTCTGAGGGAAGCCCCGAAGAATCCCAACACCATATCTCCACTGTATAACTCGAATGCCCGCTGCGCCTATCACTCTGATGGCCCAGGTCATGATAAAAACAACTGTTGGGCCTTGAAGAATAAAGTGTAAGACTTGATCAAAGCCAAAGAGATTGAGTTTGACGCTCCGGAAAAGCCCAACGTCAAAACTGCACCCATGCCCAAGCATGACTTGGGAATCAATGCTATTGAGGTTGTCTCCGCCACGGAAGATACTGATGATGAGGACTCAGATGTTGACAACTGGATTTACCCGACTACGAACGGTGGATTGAACAACTGGACGACGAAGGACTTCGTACCCGTTTCTTTTATTACACAGTAATTGACTTTTGTTTTGAGATTTGTAATAGACAGTTTGAAACTTTACGGCCCGGTGCCTTGCCCGAGGCACCTTGGTTTTGTTTGTGAGGGCTTATTATTTGTCATTTTCATATATCATCAATAAAGCATTGGATGTTTTCTTGCATTGCAAATTTTGCGCTCTTTGTTTTTCCTTTCTATCTCGCACTTTATCAAAACAGCTATTGTCTTACACACACTCACATATCATAATGCAGATCCACATCCACTCTGGATCCCATTGATAACAACTCTGCTACTGCCAGTTATGACTTCGAAAATCCGATCAACCAAGCCGAGGACGAAGGTGAGGATGATTGTGAAGTTCCTGGGGAACTTGCAAGACTGTTACTACAGGAAGAGAGGGCCATGCAACCTCATGAAGAGCCGGTGGAATTAGTGAATTTGGGTACAGAGGAAGATAAGAAAGAGGTCAAGATAGGTGCAAATATGGAACATAGTATCAAGCAGCGGTTGATACAGATGCTACGCGACTATGTTGAGATCTTCGCTTGGTCTTATGAAGATATGCCTGGTTTAGAAACTGATATTATGGTACACCGCCTGCCAACTAAAGAAGACTATCCTCCGGTAAAACAAAAGGTTTGCCGTATGCATCCTGAGATGTCTGAGAAAATCAAAGCTGAGGTCATGAAACAGTTTGACGCCGGATTTTTAGCTGTTACTTCTTACCCACAGTGGGTTACCAACGTGGTTCCAGTGCCTAAAAAGGATGGTAAGGTACGGATGTGTGTGGACTATAGAGATCTGAACAGGGCGAGCCCCAAAGACGATTTCCCACTGCCTCACATCGATGTTCTGGTCGACAACACCGTGCAGCATAAGGTCTTCTCCTTTATGGATGGTTTTTCTGGTTACAATCAGATTAAGATGGCTCTCGAGGACATGGAGAAGACAACTTTTGTTACACAGTGGGGCACCTTCTGTTACAAGGTAATGCCTTTCGGATTGAAGAATGTTGGGGCAACTTATCAGCGCGCCATGGTCGCTTTGTTCCACGACATGATTCACCATGAGATTGAGGTTTATGTTGATGACATGATTGCAAGGTCCCAGACTGAATAAAAACACCTTGACCATCTCCAAAAACTGTTCGACAGGCTGAAGATGTACAAGCTAAGGTTAAACCCGAACAAGTGCACCTTCGGGGTAAGGTCTGGTAAGCTGCTGGGTTTCGTCGTTAGTGATAAAGGTATTCAAGTATCCCGCAAAGGTGAAGGCTATACAGGAGATTCCAGCTCCCCGAACAGAAAAGGAAGTTAGAGGATTTTTGGGACGTCTGAACTACATCGCCCGATTCATTTCACATCTGACTGCTACTTGTGAGCCGATCTTCAAGCTGCTGAAGAAAGATCAAGTGGTAAAATGGAATGATGAATGTCAGACCACTTTCCAAATTATCAAGGAATATCTCCAAGATCCACCAATTCTGATGCCTCTAGTTGAAGGAAGACCTTTGATCTTATACTTGACAGTGATGGATAATTCAGTGGGGTGCGTGTTGGGGCAGCATGACGAGTCTGGCCAAAAAGAGCACGCTATTTACTACCTTAGCAAAATTTTTACCGACTGTGATACCCGATACTCATTGCTCGAGAAAACTTGCTGCGCTTTGGCATGGGCTGCTCACCGGCTGAGACAGTATATGCTGACTCACACTACCCTATTGATATCAAAGATGGATCCAATCAAGTATATCTTCGAAAAGCCTGCCTTGTCCGGAAGAATAGCAAGATGGCAGATGATCTTAACTAAGTATGATATCCAATACACAACCCAAAAAGTA